CACAACACTTAAATATAAAAAAAACCAATCACTTTTCCATGAAACTAAGGGTAAGAACCACAGAGAGTGACTATCTTTCTATGAATCCTGAGTGCAATTTTCTTTTAAAGTTTTGTGTGTGTGTGGTTTTTTGTTTGTTTTTTGAGTAAGGAAAAAGTACTCACAAACCTTGCATTCTAGCCAACTGATCTCTTTCCTGGAGAGCAGACTTCAATATTATGTCAATCTATGCTCCTCAGGAAAGATTCTTCTCAAATTGCAAACAAGAAACTATGCATTTATTCTATATATAAAGCTAATACATTTCCTCGTAGAGGTGGAAATCTGGTTTTGGCAATATCAAATTGTCCCTCTCATTCTGCTTCAGTCCTTGACATTTACTCAGGTACCTTCTCTGAGGACAGAATGAAAGAGAGAAGCACGGGATCCTTTAAACCTAAAATGCTACAGTCAATTATGTTTTAGTGTGCCTACTGGTTTAAAGTTTCTGCAACACTCATAATTCTCATAGACAAGCTTGTTTTGTTGAACACAAATGCAAAATAAGATAGAATAAACATACACGAACTCAAAAGCAGCCCTGACAGACACTCCACCTCCCGCTCTGGAGCAATGACTCTGACCTCTCAAATAAATGAGTAAAATTGAAGACAGGCTTATGAGAAGCAGGGAAAGGAAAAGATGGAGGTGGACCCGAGGACAGGATGATATCATCCTTAATATGCAGTAGTAGGACTCTCCCAAGATCACACGGAAGTCTTTTTGCAGCTTTCACCTCCTCTAAAAACTCTGAACAATATTTTTCATAAACCATTATTGTAATGGATGTTTGTTCTTCAAGACAGAGTTGAATCAACTCCAGGGATGAATGATAAAAACTCAAAAGAAATAAAATGTACATTCTGGAGGAATAGCCCAGACTCCTAAATTTTTACCCACAAATCATTTCAGTAGGAAGAGAAAAGAGAAATATATCCAGCTCAGAGAATACAGCAAAACTTTGGTTTGTTTAAAAAAAAAATTCCAAGATAAATGAAGAGATGACAAAGCAACAATTTCTAACTAAAAAATTAATAACATACAGAAAAGAACTTTAAATACTACACCCATGTATCTTCCGCTGAGAGTAAACAGATGTTAACACTTCACTGTGTTTACCTTTGCTTCAAAGGATACAATTTTTTTTTAAAGATTTTATTTATTTGAGACAGCAAGCGAGAGAGAAAGTACAAGCAGGGGGAGGGGCAGAGGGAGAGGGAGAAGCAGACTCCCTGCTGAGGATCCGATGGGGGACTCGATCTCATGACCCTGGGATCATGACCTGAGCCGAAGGCAGACACTTAACTGACTGAGCCACTCAGGCACCCCCAAAGGATACAATTTTATAAATGTAAGCTGCTCTATGGATCCTCCCAGGAACCAATGCTACTTAGTTCCCGTGCTATCATTTCAATTCACACTCTTGAGCTACGTATGTGTATTTCTAGAACATTATTTATTCTCAGCTTCAGTGGCTTATAAAAACATACATAAATGGTATCATAACCATATACTTCCGTAACTTTTAAGTTGTCATTCTTGTTTTTGAGACTTATCCATGTTGTTCATTAACTGCTGTATAGCATTCCGTGTATTCCTAACCCACCATTTAGTGATCCACATCTCTACATAGGACCAATTAGGTGTATCTCACTTTTTCATATTACAAACAGTGAAATATAGATGTCTCATTGTGTACCTATAAAAATAGCAATTATTAACTATAAAATCTTAAAGACAATCTAAAACTAGAAAATTGAAATAAACTGATATGGATGCTAAACAGAAAATCTATTTAATGGTGTTCAACTCAAGAGTCTATTTCATAATGGCCCCAAAGGAATTACTGCTTTCCATCTCATGTGCCTCTTTCTTCCTTCATTTTTTTTTTTTTAAGATTTTATTTATTTATGTCAGAGAGAGAGAGAGCACAAGCAGGCGGAGCAGCAGGCAGAGGGAGAAGCAGGCTCCCCGCTGAGCAGGGAGCCCGATGCGGGGCTCAATCCCAGGACCCTGAGATCATGACCTGAGCCGAAGGCAGACGCTTAACCGACAGAGTCACCCAGGCGTCCCCTCCCTTCATTTTTTTAATAAACTACAATTCTTCACAAAATGAGTCAAGAAGATGAGTCATAAGAATGACTACCCAAAGTGCCGAGAAGACTGAACCTGTGTGTGTGTGTGTGCACATGTGTGTGGTGTGCAGAGAGATTCCAGTTTTTCTGTAAATAAGGGAATTGAGGAATTCAGAAAATAATTTTTTCTATTGAACAGACAGCCTGTAAAAATGACCAGAAAAGGGGGCGCCTGGGTGGCTCAGTTGGTTAAGCGACTGCCTTCGGCTCAGGTCATGATCCTGGAGTCCCTGGATCGAGTCCCACCGAGCAGGGAGCCTGCTTCTCCCTCCGACCCTCCCCCCTCTCATGTGCTCTCTCTCATTCTCTCTCTCTCAAATAAATAAATAAAATCTTTAAAAATCTTTAAAAAAAAAAAATGACCAGAAAAGGTAAAAACAAAGGAGAGAAGATACCTCACTACCGCATTATTTCCAAACTGAAGCCAGTGCAATGTTAAATTGACTTAAGGAGATAGGAACAGAATGCTACAGCCATTATGATCCTCCCACAAGAGATCATAACTGTCTAGCCCCTCATTTCTTTGGAACAACACCTTTTCTGGCTTGAAAGCCTAGACTCTTCCTATGGGCAGCCCAATGCCTAGATGAAATAAAACACTGGATGAGTGACAAGAGGGAAGAAAAGCACCACATGATCTTTATTAATTAAACTTCTAGAATTATTGAGGGTGGCTCAGTAAGTTAAATGTCTGCCTTCGGCTCAAGTCATGACCCCAGGGCCCTGGGATCAAGCCCTGCATCAGGCTCCCTGTTCAGCAGGGAGCCTGCTTCTCCCCCTCTCTCCCTCTGTCTGCAGTTCCCCCTGCTTGTGCTCTTTCCCCCTCCCTGTCAAATAAATAAAATCTTTTTAAAAAATAGTAAACTTCTAGAATACTGAAAACAGGGATGGGTGGAGATATAGGCTCTCGCTCCTTCCCATAAACACAACCACTTTAATTGAAAATCAATACTTTAAAAAAATGGGCAAAAGATTTAAAGGGTCGGGCGCCTGGGTGGCTCAGTCGTTAAGCGTCTGCCTTCGGCTCAGGTCATGATCCCAGGGTCCTGATATCGAGCCCTGCATCGGACTTCCTGCTCTGCGGGAAGCCTGCTTCTCCCTCTCCCACTCCCCCTGCTTGTGTTCCCTCTCTGGCTGTGTCTCTCTCTGTCAAATAAATAAATAAAATCTTTAAAAAAAAAAAAAAAGATTTAAAGGGTCATTTCTCCAAAGAAAACAAAGAAATGGACAATAAGCATATGAAAAGATGTTCAAAATCATAAGTCATCAGGCAAATACATACCAAAGCCATTTCACATGCACCATGATAATTTTAATTTTAAAAAAGGAAAATGACAAGTGTTTTCCAGGATGTGGAGAAACTGGATCCTTCCCACCACTGCTGATGGGAATGTGTAATAGTGCAGTCATTTTGGAAAACAGTTGACAGTTCTTCAAAAAGTTAAACATAGAGTTACCATATGATCCAACCACTCCACTTAGGTATATACCCAGGAGATTTGAAAACATACGTCCACACAAAAACTTGTATATGAATATTCACAACAGCATGATTTACAGTAGGCAAAGGTGGAAAAAAGTCAAATTTCCAGCAAAATATGAATTAATAAACAGAATGTGGTATATTCATACAACAGGGTTTTATTCAGTTATTAAAAAAAATACTAAGGATATCAATGCATCCTATAATGTGGGTAAACCTTAAAGACATACTAAGTGAAAGAAGCCAGGCACAAATGGTCACACATTTATATGAAATCACCAGAATAGGAAATTACATCAAGAAAGGAAGTAGATTAATCATTGCCAGGGGCTGGAGGAGGGAAGAATGAGTGACTGCCCTAGGTACAGGGTTTCACTACGGGGTGGTGAAAATCCTAAGAAAGTCATAGAATTAAATAGTGGTGATGTCTGCACAATATACTAAAACCTGAAGACTTGCACACTTTTAAAAAAAATGAATTTTATGATATGCAAATTATATCTCAAATTTTCACATAAAAAAAGCTAAAAGCTGGTTTTAGGGAAATCCAAATTGATATGAGAAAAAATAAATCAATACATCAATGTGAAGTCATATCACATGAGCAGACATAATGCATCTCAACAAATTCTGATTTGATAAAAAACGTGAACATTTCAGTATTATTACTGAGAAAAGTAATCATTAGCATTTACCAAGTGCTTACTTATACATGAAGCATTATTCTAAATATTCTACACAAACATACTGCATCTAATCTTCATAGCCCCCTTATGAGGTAGATACTCTTATCCTATCCCCATTTTATAAATAAGAAAAGTGAACCCCACAGAGGTTGAGCAATTTGTAATATTATATAGTCTGTGTGTTTTGCTACATATATACTTTTAAATCCTGTAAAATCTATATGTCAAGCTGATATAATTGTGTATGTATGCCATGTGTGTATGGCAGCTGAAGATAAATGAGAGATTATTCTTTGCAAGTGTCTAAAATCCTAAAAATATGAAAATGAGAAAAGGAGCATTTCACTGAAAAAACCTAATTTCTCTTTTCTATTTTACAAACATATATTAATCTTCTTTTTCAAATGGTAATCATTCTTCTCTTAAAAAGGAAAGTTTAATGAATTTCATATAATCTGGCTTCACATAATTGAAATTATCTTTAGCCACTTCCTCTATAATTAAGGGTAACAATAACCAAAATTCCTAGAAGACAAATTTAACTGTTATTTTCAAATCATCTAGCGATAGAAGTGTTTATGAATCAAAATTATTTTAAACATCATTTGTTTAAGGGAGGATCTTCCACTGAAAGATTAATGGGTAAAGATTACATACCTTGTTTTTAAAATAAACCTCAATTGGCAAAATGAAACCAGCATACCCAGATTCTTCTACTTTGTAAGGTGGATCTTTGCACACTGCAACATTAAAAAGAGAAAATAGGTGAGAGGAGAATAAAAGACAAAAAGGCATTCTTTCTTTTGGAAAAAAAAAAAAAAACAACAAAACCCACTCTACTATCTAGATCATGCTCAATTTTCACAGCCCTTTGCTAAATCCCCATCTCCACCTCTGATCTATCCTTTACTTCTCCAGAATCTACAATAATTTTCCTAGGTAAAGCAAATCTGTAAGCTGTTTGTTAAAATCTTGATGGAGGCATCTCATCGCAGTCAACCATGATTAGTAATAACTTGACTTCAGTTGTCACCCTGCCCTAAAGCTTTAGGGAAATTGAGGATAGCTCCTATGATCCAAAGCTTGAAAGTTTCCTAACAAAAGTACTGTCTATGTCAGGTCTTTGATGTAAATTACCCCATCCTTAAACCCCTCACTTTTTGGATTTCTATGCCAAAAAGTGGCAGGACACCCTCCTTCCTTAGAAAATCCGAAACCCAGAGTCTCCCAATGTTATTGGTGCCCATAGTGTCACTATTCCCAGTCCCCCCTCTCCAAAAAAAAGAATTAGGCGAGACTATTTAGGCAAGTTCTTGGGAAATGAGAGACACCCTCAAGAAGCTAAATATGATTTCATACCACTAGAATATCAATTAAATCAAAATCAGTCACAAGCCAACTGAAATTATTCCAGCTAAGACTGCATTTGATAGTATCACAAAGAAGTAAAAATGTGGATGCTGAACATCAAGGCAACACAGTCCTCTATGTGGCAGCTCAAGTCCTCTGCAGCAGGGCTCCAGCCTACCTTTGCAGCCTTCCTCTTTTGTCACCCATCAATCTTCCTATGCTACATTCAAGTGCACCAACTCCCCCCAAATATGCCCAGCATGTCCCAACTATGCCCCGTCCTCCTGCCATTCCTTCCATCACACTTTGATAATACTGTTAGTATCCTCTCTAGTTCAAATTCAAATTTCATCACAAATTTTGTGGCCTCTCCAGACCACAAAGTACTATCATCTCTTCCTCTTTTACCCTCCCAAAGCATTCACTGTCTGAATTACGGGTTTGACACTCAATAGAGTTCCCCATTACCACATATTCAGGAATCTCATCTGTAATTTACTTCCAGGCTTCAAGGACAGAAACGTTCACCTCAGGAAGATAATGAGTGTCAAGTGTCAAGGGCTTAGGCACACATGGGTGCCAATCCGGGCTCCACCTCAGGCTAACCAGGCTACATCTGGTTACTGAAAGTTACTCTAATTCAGAGCTCTGAACATAGGGTTTTCTTCCAGTGTAAGGATTAAACAGGGATGATGTATATATAAGACACAGCACAGATCCTGGCACACGTAAGTTCTCAAAAAGTGACTGAAGTGAGGCAGGAAATCTAATCCGTGAAATACCCAATTGTCATATAAACTTTTCAGATGAAAATAGAAAGAAGGCAGCAAGTAGAGCCCTGGATTTTGATGATAAGACTCAGGTCCATGGCCCCTGGGGTAAGAATTCTCCAGACAGCTTCCACTTCCTTCAGCTTTAAAAGAGAGAACACCATCAGGCCGCTGGGTGGCTCAGTCAGTTAAGCGTCTGACTCTTGGTTTCAGCTCAGGTCATGATCTCAGGGTTGTGAGATAGAGCCCCTCATCTGACTCCGCGCTGGGCATGGAGCCTGCTTAAGATTCTCTCTCTCACTCTTGAGACAGAGAGAAAGAGAACCATATACCCAACTGTAAGCATGGCCATCAAGATGCAAGAAGACTATGTACGTGTAGAAATTCAAGTGTAAGTTATTTTTCTTCTAGACAACGGTGATGATACACATGAAGATTCGTTAGATATTCCACAAGTACAACTATGGTTATAAAGAGGTATACTGAAGATAGGATTTTAACACTTGGACATCTCCTTTAATCCACCTCAGGGACCCTTCCCCAAAAGGACATCAGAAGTCAATCAGGACATCAGAAGTCAATCAGGAATGAGGAATCTCACCTGACTTTACAAGTGTCTCTAATAAAAAGAAAAAAAAATGAAAAAGCGAAACAACTCAGAGTAGCTTCAGTCCAGCATCCACTAACCACCTGCTGACCTGTCATGAATATTCAAATCTCCTGGACCCTTGGGAGAGGATATGCCACCAAAAGCACTGAGCACTCCCCACCTCACCCCAAACAGAAGGCTCGTATTACACCCATGACATTTGCAGACTGCAAAGCCTCTCTGCCACCCAGCAGTTTCAGTGTCCAGGTCGCTGGGGATTAATCATGCCAATGTCACTTGAAGGAAGTTTATTCTGGGGGCTGCGGTACATGCCAGGGAAGTTATGGCTGCTTCTCTATACCCCCTTTTGTTGAATTCATTTTCTCTATTCTGCATGCAAATTGCTTCTATTATAGGAAACAGCTGTTAGTGAGCACATCTTCTAGTTGAAAGTTTGAGATTTTTTCCCACCCTCTAAAGGAAATGATTTGTTATATATTAATATTCCGTAAAAGTCTGGCTTATAAGAAACTATTTACCAATGCATACCTCAATTATTTTTAAATGCAATATTTTCATAAATAACAATAAACGATGTCTGTAGAGCACCCTGAGTTCTTAATTAGAAGCAAAGAATAGAAACTTTTTATACACACTAAACATGCCAGAAAACCTGTAGCAATACAGATAGAAACTTACAGCCCCAATCTGAAGAAAGCCAAATTATGGGAAGTAGTTTATTTATTCAAGTATCGTATAACCTGAATCATTAACATGAGTTTCTAACCTAGTTCTTAAAAAGAAACAGGAGTTCAAACCAAGGAACATTTTAGCCAGGGATAGTACATTAGTCATAAAGCAATTATTGTTAAACTAAAAGGACCACCTTTCAGACTTTGTGTCACTCAGCAATGCTTCTTCATTAAGAATCCATGTTCTAGGGCGCCTGGGTGGCTCAGTTGGTTAAGCGACTGCCTTCGGCTCAGGTCATGATCCCGGAGTCCCGGGATCGAGTCCCGCATCGGGCTCCCTGCTCGGCGGGGAGCCTGCTTCTCCCTCTGACCCTCACCCCTCTCATGTGCTCTCTCTCATTCTCTCTCTCTCAAATAAATAAATAAAATCTTTAAAAAAAAAAAAAAAAAAAAAGAATCCATGTTCTATCATCACTGGCTACTGTGTCACCTTCATACGATCTAAGCATCCTAAACCCTTCAACTCATTCTTCCTCTCAATTGTTCGAGAATCAGATAATCTTAAAATCTATGTAATAAAAGTTTCAAAAGTTATTAAAGGGACATTCATCTTTGGAAAGCCACCAAATTTTTTTAGGTGATAGTAAAGTGGGAGGACTAACATCCATTCTTTAAACTATGCAAATTAATACTCAGTAGAAATCCCTGGAAGCTCTCACTCCTGTCAAAATCCAGCCCAGACGTTAGCTCTTTTAGAATGTCTCCCTTGTTCCTCTTCCAAGCTTCTCGTGTTGCACTTATCAGGTTGGTGCATTTATCAGACTGGCAAGATAACATTCACTCACCTCTCAGACTTCTCCACTAGACTGAGCCCCTTGAGGTCAGCAACCCCATTATTACTCATATCTGTAACTCCGGGCATTAACATTGAGCCAAGTAAAGCAACAAATGTTTGTTGAATTGAATTTTTTAAAGAGGCATGCCATCCTTCACTGATTTACCATTACTAAAGAAGTTGCTTTCCGGGAGCACTCAAATTCTTCTCCAAACTCCCACGCCCTACAATCAACATGAACTTTTATAAAAATGGGTAGAGGTGATAGGAAGTGTTGCCACAGAGGAGCCTTCTCCTGAAAGCCAGTACTCCCATGCAACTGGTTTTAATTCTGATAGTACCAAACTTCAAGAAACTGAGTTAACAAATTGTGCCAGAGGATACCCAGTGTCATTTTGAAACTAACATTATACAGCCATAAATAACATGTTCCTGCTCCTCTCCTTCCACATACTGCTGCTCAGGTATTCCAAGCCTCTAACTAGGAGACATTTTCAAAACATCTCTTTCCAAGTAATCACATGTAGCATGAAGGTCTACCAGCACACAACACTCATGCCTGAGAGGAACAGCCCGAAGTGTGCGTAAATAATGAGTAACTGTAGTTTTTTTTTTTTTCTTAAAATAGCTTCTCAAAAGTAGGCACACTCCCCATATAAATATGTAGTATAATGCTAGCTATATACAGTGACCATTAACCTATTTAAGTTGTGCAAAAAATGCACACAAGGAAGAAAAACCAATGAAGGGGGGAAAAGGTCATATTTTGGTTAACGTGGAATAAGTCAAAATCTTATTCCCTTACCTGAGATTTTTAATATTCTTCATTTAGGAGAAAAAGTCTTCAAAAAAACTAAAACAAACAAAAAACCCGGTGCTTGGTACAGGGAAATAAATGCTCCTTAGATGAATAAATAAATTTGTGCTATTATCATAAAGTTCATATACAGACACAATAAATAAACTTAATTAAAAGATCCCATTTTTTAGCCCTAAAAAGAAAGAAGAAGAAGAAGCTCTTACAGATTCATAAGACCTTCATTTAAAGCTTTAAAAAAAATATCATTGGGCAATAGTTTTTTCTCTAATCCTCAGGAAAACAGCTGGTAGATTCCTCTCCAGTCTGTTTGCTTAGACACTATGATTTATGCCCATCTGAACACTTTTGTTCAGGACATGGCCCAGTTGACCATTGATAATTATTGGTTTTACTTTATTTACGGTGCAGAGTCCTTCAGGAAGGAAACACACTGAACTCTATATATAGACTGGTTATTACCAATGCTTTGTGCTAAATGTCCCTTCCAGTTTGAGCATTTTGGACTCCTTCCCTTCCTGCTTGAGTTCAGAGCCCCCAAGAACAGTGAAACAAGGGGCTACCTGGCCCATGTCTCTGCCCTCAACTGTCCTGTGGGAGCATTTAGAAGTCTAGAGCTAGCATCTAGCAGTCTGAGCACCTCACCACCATGGAACATGGTAGCCTTTACACTTGTGACATTTTGAA